GCAAGCTGTTGTGAGATCACACATTTTGGAGGTTTTCCTGTCTCGGAAGCCGGACGAAATGACGCCATCAAAAACAATTGCCAAACAGGATGGGAGATTCTTCCTAACAAGCTAGAGTCCGGGAGGATCACATGGGGGGGAAGCTTCAGTCTATGGGGGGGGAGCTTATGAGTCACAAATTCAGAGGTGGTATACAGCCGGTTTGGATCGGTTCGCCCGAACCGGTAGCGGAAATCGCGAGTGGCTCTATGCCCGTGATGGCGAACCTATGTCGCCTGGCACGCGCGGCGTCATTCATTCCTCTTCTGGGTTTCTGGCGCGCATGCACACGTGACAAACAGCTGGACTTTGTGCGCGCGGCAGTGCTGGAAACTGGAAAAGCTGGTCTGTGAGCCAGGAATGGGGCTTCCTCAAACTTCGGAATTGGGAGCGTGGGCGGCAGTAACCGGAAGACTTGCTGTCCGGCCTGCATGCGCGCGCTGGAAACCGGAAGTACCTTATCCGGTATGCACATGCCCCCTGAGCAGCTCCTGTTTGCAGCCCTAATGAGCGCGCATGTGTATATGAAGTGGTCCCTTTTTGGCACTTGGTGCCGAAAAGGTTCGTTATCACTGCTCTATGCCATCCTATTTAGGCATGTTTTTGAGGCTGGGAGCATGCACAGAAGGCACGAACCGGAGGCGTGCATGCACGAAGCAATCATGCGCACACATGGCAAACCGGTAGTAACCTAATGTGAATCCCACCGCTGGTCGCGATATGACTCTACCCACCGTAAAGTCTAAATTTCATCCCTCCTGTTGCAAAATGTAAGAAGCCCGGATCTACTTCGATTACTGAACCGATAATCATAATAATTATAGGTATTCCATCACCGGAGGTGTTTAGGAAGAGATTGGATAGACATTTGTCTGGAATGATATAGGATTTCCTGCCCGGACAGGGGGTTGGACTAGAAGACCTCCAAGGTCCCTTCCAACTCTGTTATTCTACGTTCTCTTTTCTTCCTGAAAATGGAGCAGTCTGGAAGGAGGCAAAAATGCTCCTGATCTATGACGGCAGTCTTCCAATATTTGAGGGGCTGCCACAAAGAAGAGGGAGTCAACCTATTCTCCAAAGGACCAGGAGGCAGGAGAAGAAACGATGGATGGAAACTAATCAAGGAGAGAAGCAAGCTAGAACCAAGGAGAAATTTCCTGAAAGTCAGGCCAATTAACCAGTGGAACAGCTTGCCTTCAGAAGTTGAAGTCCTTTAAAGAAAAAAAACTGGACAGCCACCTGTTTGAAACGGTATAGGTCTCCTGCTTGAGCAAGGAGTGAGACTTAGAAGACCTTCAAGGTCCCTTCCAATACTGTTATTCTGTTATCTCTTGGATTTTTGATCCTCGCCTTACTCAAGGAGGGGAGGTGTCCCAGTGAAAGCTGATTTATAATGTAAGGACTTGGCTAAAGGGAACAGCCACAGGATAATAGACAGGGAATCTCCTTCTTTTCCAAAAGGGAACTCAATCTCTCTCTCTCTGTGTGTGTGTGTCTCTCTCTCTCTGTCTCTCTCTCACACACACACACTTTCTGTCTCTCTCATTCATTCATCTATTTATTTATTTATTTATTATATTTCTATACCGCCTTTCTCCCGTAGGACTCAAGGCGGTGTACAGTCAAGAAAAATATAGACACACAAACATCATAAAATTGCTAATTAAAATTGTTACTTAGTTTGGTCAATTAAATAAAACCCAGAATTAGATAACATTTAAAAAATCATTCGCATGTTTGTATGTTTAGCCCTGCCTGTTGGAACAGGTTTGATTCAGCATTTTACAGAGGATGGTGTTTGTTTTGAGATGGAGCGGGGGAGATAAATAGATAAATGATAGATGATGATAGATAGATAGATGATAGATAGATAGATAGATAGATAGATAGATAGATAGATAGACAGATGATAGAAGGAAGACAAATAGATAGATAGATAGACACAGATAGATAGTAGCTAATGATAGACAGTAGCTAGATGATAGAAGATGATAGATAGATAGATAGATAGATAGATAGATAGATAGATAGACAGACAGATGATGGATGATAGAAGATATATAAATAGATAGAGATATGATAGATGATAGACAGAAGATAGCTAGATAGTAGATGATAGATGACAGACAATAGATAGATGATGATAGATAGATAGATTTATTTATTTATTTATTTATTATATTTCTATACCGCCTTTCTCCCGTAGGACTCAAGGCGGTGTACAGTCAAGAAAAATATAGACACACAAACATCATAAAATTGCTAATTAAAATTGTTACTTAGTTTGGTCAATTAAATAAAACCCAGAATTAGATAACATTTAAAAAATCATTCGCATGTTCATATGTTTAGCCCCGCCTGTTGGAACATCAGGGTCTTGAGGGCACGGCGGAAAGCACGAAGGTCGGGAATATTCCGTATCTCCGGGGGCAGTTCATTCCAAAGGGTTGGAGCCCCCACAGAGAAGGCCCTCCCCCTGGGAGTCGCCAGTCAGCATCATTTGACTGACGGTACCCTGAGTAGTCCCTCCCTGTGAGAACGAACTGGTCGGTGGGAGGCTATTGGTGGCAAAAGACGGTCTCGTAGGTACCCAGGTCCTAAGCCATGGAGCGCTTTAAAGGTGATAACTAACACCTTGAATCGCACCCAGAAGACCACCAATTCATTCTTTCTTTCTCTCTATCATTCTCTCTCTCTCTCTTTCTGTGTCTGTGTCTGTCTCTCATTCTCTTTCTCTCTCACACACACACACCACACATTATTTTCTGTCTCTTTCTTTCTTTCTTTCTTTCTTTCTTTCTCTCTCTCTCTCTCTCTCTCTTTCTCTCTCTCATTCTCTCTTTCTCTGTGTCTGTCTGTCTCTCATTTTCTCTCTCATTCTTTCTCTCTCTCATGCTCTCATGCTCTCTCTCTCTTTCTCTGTGTCTGTCTCTCATTCTGTCTCTCTCTCTCTCACACACACACACACATTTTCTGTCTCTCTCATTCTTTCTTTCATTCTCTCATTCTCTCTGTGTGTATGTGTCTGTCTCTCGGTCTTGGTCTTGGTCTCTCTCTCCCTCTCTCTCGCTTTACCTAAAGATTTTGGAGCTTCTTCAAACGCAAGCAGACTCCTAGCTAGAGCAAGGAAATTTTTTGTGCCCAGGTCTCTTCCCCAGAAATCCAAGGAATAATTGGAGTGTTCCATCTCCCCATCTATCAAACCTCAAAAGGCTTTGCCAGCGACTAATTTTTATGGCTTCTCTTTACAGGCTGTGCCAAAGCTTTCTTGAATCGCCACCAAGTCGCACCGGAGTCCAAATAATAGTTACTGCTAAGACAGATTCCTTATGGTTTTAAAAAAAACGATGTGCCATCCATCAAAACCAAGTTAATGGGGCAGCAAAGCTTTTAAAATGAGGCAACCAGTCTGAATTCATGTCTCTGGACACATCTCGTTCCCTGATATGATTCTCAGATGGTCATTCCAGAAAGGTACAAATTCATCTGCTTTTTCATGTTCCTCCAGCTTGATCGGTTCTGCCTGAGTTTATTGCTGGTATAAAATACTCACAGAAAGAACCGAGAATGCTTCCTTACCCTCTGGGGTACACTTATGTTCCAGTCTCCGCAGAGATAATATTACTAGGACAGAATGAGGTAGGAGGAGCAGGTGAAATGAGAAACTTAAGCGAGCCTTGGTTAAAAGCCAAGCTGTTTTCAGAAGGTTTATCCCTGTGGTCACCAAGAATCGAAAATGACTTGGTGGCACATAATTCATTCCCACCCACCCTCAAAAAATTTTTTTAAAAAAATCAGACTCTCCCAAAACTTAGCCAACAAATAGCATCATCACGTTTTATGGAGTGACAAGCATTAGAGGTGGTACTTAAGTATCATTAATAGCAATAGCACTTAGACTTATATACCGTTTCACAGTGCTTTTACATCCCTCTCTCTAAACGGTTTACGGAATCAGCCTCTTGCCCCTAACAATCTGGGATCCTCATTTTACCCACCTCGGAAGGATGGAAGGCTGAGTCAACCTTGAGCCTGTCAGGATCGACCTGCTGGCTGTGGGCAGAGTCAGCCGGGAATACTGCACTCTAACCGCTGTGCCACCACGACTCTGGGGGAACATTGTGGAAAGCAGGACTCTTGGTAGCACAGTGGTTGGAATGCAGTATGGCAGGCTGACTCTGCCGACAGCCAGGGGTTCGATCCTGACCAGCTCAAGGTTGACTCAGCCTTCCATCCTTCCAAGATTGGTAAAATGAGGACCAAGGTTGTTGGGGGCAAGAGGATGACTCTGTAAACCACTTAAAGAAGTACTTTGAAGTGGTATATAAGTCTAAGTACTATTTCTATTCTATTCTATTCTATTCTATTCTATTCTATTCTATTCCTTCTCCTATTCTATTCTATTCTATTCTATTCTATTCTATTCTATTCTATTCTTATTCCTATTCCTAATCCTAATTCTAATCCTAATTCTACTCTACTCCTAATTCTTATTCCTATTCTATTCTTCCATTCCACATTCTATTCTATTCTATTCTATTCTATTCTATTCTATTCTATTCTATTCTATCCTATCCTATTCCTATTCCTATTCCTAATTCTATTCTACTCTACTCCTAATTCTTATTCCTATTCCTATTCTATTATTCCATTCCACTTTCTATATTCTGTTCTGTTCTGTTCTATTCTTCCATTCCACATTCTGTTCTGTTCTGTTCTGTTCTGTTCTGTTCTGTTCTGTTCTATTCTATTCATATTCTGTCGTAAATACATGCCAGTTGCCAAGGGCACATTTTGATCACATGGTTACATGCTGAGACCATGGTAAGAATGAGAAACGGCCACCAGTCACTTATCCAGTACTGCATTGACTTCAAACAGTCACTAAATGGACGGTTGCAAATCCAGGACCCCCTGTAGAACACGCGCAGATGGAATACATGTGATTTGAAGAAGCTTACCTGTTAGGAGAATCGGGATCAAAGCAGGTTTTGGTGACATCCGTTATATCTGGATTGCAGCAATCCCCGCCGTCGAAGTTGTACTTCTCCGAGTTGCAATCCATGTCACAAACGCCATTCTGTTTCTTCTTGTTGAAGGAAAGCTGGCGCACGTGGCGGCAATCTCCCCCGTCAAAGCCAGTCAACGTATGGTTGCACTCCGGATCGCAGCTCTCGTCTCCAATCTTGCTGATTTCGCAGTTGGCCAGGATGAGGCGGTCGCGAAGGGAGGAATCGTTGATCTCCAGCACCTCTATTTCCCACGAGATGTTGTACGGGCCGAAGGCTTCGTTGAGTTGTCGGTGCTGGAACTCTATTTGTTGCTGGCTGATGGTCGGGTTGCGGTGACGGTCGTCGTAAATGTTCACCACGCGGTAACGGACCACCTTCCTGTGGCGGAAGGTCGGGATCTGGTTGTAACTGGTGATGACCTCCACATTGTCGCAAACCATTTGGCCACAAAGAGGAGGCTCCAGGCTGGTATCCAACAGGTAGCCAGAGTGGGAGGTGAACTCGGTGAGAGGAAGACGTGGGCTGTCTTTCATGGGAGACCAGTTGCTTTTCACATTCAGTAAAGTCTCCTGAAACACCAGCTGAGGTAGAGGAACATCTACTTCATGAGCCACCAGAGTCATGTCCATCAGTATCTCCTTCTGAGAACGGACCGTTCTCCAAAGACTAAAATGTTCTACGTATCCTCGGTAATTTTGGTTTAGGGCGTTGCCACCCAGCATAAGGATCTTACATTTCAAACTCAAAGGGCTGAAGATACTCCCTACCTGTTCCCTGCTAGCCGCCACCTGGGCACCGTTGACGTACATCTTCATCAAACGTCCATCGTAAGTGATGGCGAGGTGAACCCATTGATTCGGAAGGTAGCTGTGGTGATCCGTGATGGTAGTGACCTTCCGGGCACGGTCGGTCTTCAGTGAGAAAAAATAGCGGGGATCTCGATTACCTTGGTCACTGATGTTGTTAATTCCCAAAACCCATCCTCGGTCCAGGGTGGTGTAAGAACATTTGTCGTATAATCCTAAGTGTCCCCAACACAAAAAAAGAAAAGAAAGGAGAAGAGAGTGAATATGAGTGAGAGCATCCCATCATGATATCATGATTCATTTGGACCAGAAGTGGTCAATCCCTGAATTCAGCCCTTGTTTCTCAGCCCTTACTTGACCCCGTCCATCACTCCAACATCCAGCCGGGAAGCTGTCTAATATTCAGCCTCACGAGAACTTTCATTAATGCCCCTTGAAGTATATGCTTAATGTCAATTAATTCAACCAAATCCTCATTATCGAACGATTCATTCGAGAAATTCTCAGAACCTTCCCCAAAATGGCAGTTCCTAGAATTCTTCCGTACAAATCCGTGCAAGAGATAAAAAACGGGAGGAATGTAAGCCTACTTATTTGTGCCCAAGAGGTAGAAGGTGTCTCATCTCACATTATCGAACACTGTATGAACAAACTACGAACATCTTACCACCTACCTTGCCGATGCAAGGAAAACGGACAGTGGGTGGGTCCTATTTATAAACACCCCCCCAATCTGTATTTTTAGAGGCCTGTGCAAATAAAAATTTTAAAAAAGTGGAAGGGCCAGCTTTCTAATAATAGGGAGCTGGGTTTTTGTTTGCGGAAGAAACACTTAGCTGTGGTATTCCATACTTACAGTTGATTTTGCCACAAACCCGCTAAGTCTCATACACCGTTGAAACGAAGCCAAGATACATCTCATTACAATAACGTTCCCTAGGCTGTTTAACACCAGCTTCCCATTCCTTTTCCCTTTCCTTGTCTCGTTCTAAACTGGGCTGCCAGTGTTTGCAAAATGCCACACGACCACTGACATGATGACAAAATGCTATCGGTGTTGTGTTCTTAAAAGGAAAACAGTCAAAACCTTTGCCCGCCCGAATGGCAATGGAATCCTTGTTCGGGAATCAAATCACAGATTGAAATGAAATGAAGGCTATAGTTAAAAGAAAAATAATACCAGAAATGAATAATAACAGAGCTGGAAGGGACCTTGGAGGTCTTCTAGTCCAACCCCCTGCTCAAGCAGGAGACGCTATTCCATTTCAGACAAATGGTTGTCCGATCTCTTCTTAAAATCCTCCAGTGTTGGAGCATTCACAACTTCTGGAGGCAAATCGTTCCACTGGTTCATTGTTTCTCACTCTCAGTAAATTTCTCCTTAGTTCTAAGGAGAAATTAGCTTCTCTCCTTGATTAGTTTCCAAATGAACTTATTAGTATTATTTGTTTTATTTTGGTCGATTTGTAAAATTTAGCAGCTGCCCAGCTTACCTCATGGTAACTCTGGGCGGCTTGCAATCAAAAAAGATAAAAACTACCCTGTTTTCCCCTAAAGTAAGACATCCCCTGATAATAAGCCCAATCGGGCTTTTGAGTGCATGGAAATAAGGCCAAGCGCTTATTTCAGGGTTCAAAAAAATATAAGACAGGGTCTTATTTTTGGGAAAACACAGTAGATAGATAGATAGATAGATAGAAGATAGATCGATAGATAGCAGAGAGAAAGAGAGAGAGAGAGATAGCAGATAGATAGATAACTGATAGATAGATTAGATAGATAGATAGATACCCTGTTTCCCCCAAAATAAGACATTCCCTGATAATAAGCCCAATCGGGCTTTTGAGCGCATGGAAATAAGGCCAAGCGCTTATTTCAGGTTCAAAAAAAATATAAGACAGGGTCTTATTTTGGGGAAAACACAGTAGATAGATAGATAGATAGATAGATAGATAGATAGATAGATAGATAGATGAGAGAGAGAGAGATAGCAGATAGATAGATAACTGATAGATAGATTAGATAGATACGATACCCTGTTTCCCCCAAAATAAGACATCTCCTGATAATAAGCCCAATCGGGCTTTTGAGCGCATGGCAGTAAGGCCAAGCGCTTATTTCAGGGTTCAAAAAAAATAGAAGACAGGTCTTATTTTCGGGGGAAACACGGTATGTAAGCTGAGTAAGTTTTTTATTGATAACTTACTCCCAAATCAGAGAACCCAAGTACAGCTACTCATCAACGAACAAACACAATTCAGCCCAAAATTTCTGTCGCTAAGCGAGGCACTTGTTACGTGAACTTTTCCCTATTTTTACGACCTTTTTCCCTATTTTTACGACCAAAATTTCTGTCGCTAAGCGAGGCACTTGTTACGTGAACTTTTCCCTATTTTTACGACCTTTCTTGCCACCGTTGTTAAGTGAATCACTGCAGTTTGTTAAGTTCTGAAGCGAATCTGGCTTCCCCATTCACTAGGCTTGCCAGAAGGTCGACAAAGGGGATCATGTGACCCCTGGGAGTCTGCAACCATTATAAATATGAGCTGCTTGCCAAGTGTCAGAATTCGGATCATGTGACCCTCGGGATGGTCCAATGGTCATAAGTGTGGAAAACAACAGTCGTAAACAGTGGTGGTATTCAGCCGGTTCGGGAGAACCGGTAATGGCGACCTGTGGGTGGACCTGCACACCTGCCCCGGCGCTATGCCATCCTATTTAGCGACATTTTCTAAGCAGTACACATGCATGCAAGCCGTGTGTATAAGCAAAAGGCCATGCGCATTAGCGAAGCGAGCATATACGCACGCGTGGTCTCACATTTTTGGTGTGCGGTGAACCGGTGATACGATTATGTGAAACCCACCTCTGGCTGTAAGCTATCGTAACTTCAAACGGTCACTAAATGAACTGTTGTAACTCAAGGACCACATGTAGTAAATGAATTCTAAGACGCAAAGCTCAACAGAAGCCACAACAACTTATGAACTAAAGCCAATGAACAGCTCTGAGGTGGCACCCAAGTGAGAAGGACTGGAGTGTACGATCTGGTGGGTTTCTCAATCAGAGGTTTGCCTTTCGCAAACGAGGAAAAAAAGGGTGATGGAAACACGAGTGGCGGTTACGAAGACGGAAGGGGTGGTGGGTTTCAAATTTTTTTACTACTGGTTCTGTGGGCGTGGCTTGGTGGGTGTGGCTTGGTGGGCACGGCAGGGGAAGGATACTGTAAAATCTCCATTCCCACCCCACTCCAGGGGAAGGATACTGTAAAATCTCCATTCCCACCCCACTCCAGGGGAAGGTTACTGCAAAATCCCCAGAGCCTTCTCTGTGGGGCACCTACTATCTGGAACGAGGTCCCCCCAGAGATACGGAGGATCCCGGATCTACACACCTTCCGCCGCGCCTTAAAGACCTTACTATTTCACCAGGCCGGCCTGGCCTAATTTTTCCCCCTCTTTTATAAAAGATTTTTAAAATTTTAAATATCTTTTAGTATTTTATATATTCAATTTTAAATTGGTTTTAAAAGTTTGGGGTTTTAAATTTGTCAGGGCCAAAATTATCTAATTTGATTTTATTCTATTTTAAATTTTGTATGTATGTGTTTTTATTGTTTGGCTGTGCACCGCCCTGAGTCCTTCGGGAGTAGGGCGGTATAGAAATCTAATAAAATAAAATAAAACAATAAATAAATAAATTTCCTCCCGATCAGCTGGGACTCGGGAGGCAGAGAATAGATGGGGGCGGGGCCAGTCAGAATTTTTACTACCGGTTCTCCGAACTACTCAAAATTTCCGCTACCGGTTCGCCAGAACTGGTCAGAACCTGCTGAAAAACCCACCTCTGGACAGGACCATGTTTATATCAAACCTTCCAGGAAGAGAGATCTGGGTGGATTAGAGATAGGCCACCGGACATGTTCTGCAGAAAAACAAGGAGAGCTAATTTCCCCCTGAGTAACTTCTGGAAGTTGTCATGGCTTTCACAGCTGGGATAATCCAACCCAAGGTGACAGGTCTTAGTTATGAAAGGGGAATTTCGGTCAACAATCAAAGCTGCAGTCAAAGAGGCCCATGGACGGGGAGGAAAAAGGTTGGTGCTTCATCCTTTCTCCCTTGCATGCTTTAATCACTTAGTATCAAATTTGCCACAGAACGCTTGAAAGAGCAACAATTCTACGAGAACCTATCCGGAGCTTTCTTCTGGGCAGCAGAAAATAATTAAAAGAGACAGATTTGGGTTAACTATTTCCATGGTGCATGCGGCTGAATAAAAGTTGGGGATGACTGACCCAACATATTGCCAAAAGTCAACAAGAGATTTCTTGGGCTGGTGGCGGCTGGTGGGTAAGAGTTAGAAACAACCCGAAGAGCAGAGAAAACTTTCTTTGGCTGGGCTCAAAACTCTCCCATCCCTTTTCTTCCAAGTGAACCTGAAACAATTCAGAAGTTGTAACCGTCAAGCAGTGGTGGGTTGCTCCCGGTTCGCACCGGTTCGCAAGAACCGGTAGTAAAAATTTGTAGTAGTTCGGAGAACCGGTAATAACATTGGCTGGCCACGCCCGTGAACCGGTCCCCGGCCCGGTCGCCGCTCGCTTACTCTGCCCACCTCATCAGAGGCTTTTTTCTTAAACTTTTTAAAAACATTTTTTTCTACAAAAAATGCCTTTAAAAGCCTCTGGCGATCCCAGCTGAGTTGCCTGATCGTCAAAGGCTTCTAAAAGCATTTTTTTTCTGCCACCTCTTATGGTTGTAGAAAAAAATGCTTTTAAAAGTTAAAAAAAAAAAAGAAGTTGGCCACGCCCACCCAGTCACATTACCCCCACTAAGCCATGCCCACAAAATAAGCCACGCCCACAGAACCGATAGTAAAAAAAATTTAGAACCCAACCCTGCCGTCAAGGGTTACACTCACTTTTTTATTCCTGCCCTTCTTGTTGCAAGAGGAGAACCTGTGGGTAGAAGGGTACCCATATCTGCCCACAGCTTTGAAGAATCCCTCCTTAACGTTTTAAAAAGTAATTCTTATAAAGCTTATAAAGTACCAATAAAGGAGAATATTTGTAGCTCAGGGTTGAAAATCATGGATTCTTTGGTTGTTTTCTTGCAGATGTTTCATGATCAAAAGTAGGTAATATCATCAGTGGTAGAAGGGAGTCAGGTGAGGAGGAGGAGGAGGAGGAGGAGGAGGAGGAGGAGGAGGAGGAGGAGGA